CCAACCGGGCCAGGGCCGGCCAAGTGAACCGTGCTTGAGCCCGATTCAGCGCACTCACATTTCTCAAATAATCCGGTAAAACGGGCCTGGGCACGGTACGGATGGCATAGTGTGAGTACGCCCTTAGTCACACATTGTTGGACACCAATTAAATTTTTGAATTTTGGGTGTAATGTTGGGAACTTTTTATATAAATGTATGAACAGAGCAGGAGTTTGGTTCGCATTGCCGGCAATAGTTCAGACTTGTTTCCAGTGCATGTTGGGCTCCGGCAAGGCTGCCCTTTGTCACCAATTCTATTCAGAATTTTATAGACAGAATTTCAAAGCGCAGCCTAGGGCTGGAGAGGGGTCTTGCTCGTGGACCACAGGATTTCATCTCTGCTATTCCCAGACGATGTTATTTTTTTTAGCGTCATCGAACATGGACCTTCAGCATGCACTGGGCCGGTTTGCTGCCGAGTGTGACATGGCTGGGATGAGAATCAGCACCTCCAAGTCTGAGGGCATGGTGCTCCACCGGAAAAAGGTGGTTTGCCATCTCCATGTTGGAGGAAAGTCCTTACCCCAGGTGGAGGAGTTTAAGTATCTTGGGGTTTTGTTCACGAGTGAGGGAAGGATGGAGCGTGAGATTGACAAGCGAATCAGTGCAGCGGCAGCAGTAATGCGGTGGATGTACTGGTCTGTTGTGGTAACGAAGCTGAGCTGAAAAGCAAAGCTCTTGATTTACCGGTCAATCTACACTCCTACTCTCACCTATGGTCATGAGCTTTGAGTCATGACCGGAAGGACATGCAGGGTGACAAGGCACACCTTTATGGACTTCTGTTTCGTATGCCTCCAGGATGCCTACCTAGGGAGGTGTTCCAGGCATATCCCACCAGGAGGAGGCCTCGGGGAAGACCCAGGACACGCGGGATTAGGTCTCTCGGCTGACCTGGGAATGCCCCGGGATCCCCCCAGAGGAGCTGGAGGAAGTGTCTGGGGAGAGGGAAGTCTGGAGTTTGCTCTCAAGACTGCTGCCCCCGCAACCCGGCCCCAGATAAGCAGATGAAATCGACATGACATGTTTTTAAATAGAAACTATTTTTTAATTAATAATAATAATAATTCCTTACATTTATATAGCGCTTTTCTGGACACTCAAAGCGCTTTACACAATGGGGGGGAATCTCCTCATCCATCATTAGTGTGCAGCATCCACCTGGATGACGCAACGGCAGCCATCTTGCGCCAGACCGCACACCACACACCAGCTGATTGGTGGAGACGAGACAGAGTGATGAAGCCAATTATGATATGGGGAGGGTTAGGACAGAGATGGACAGAGGCCAGATTTGGCCAGGATTCCGGGGTTAAACCCCTACTCTTTTTGAAGGACATCCTGGGATTTTTAACGACCACAGAGAGTCGGGACCTCGGTTTAATATCTCATCCGAAAGACGGCGCTCACTGACCAGTATAGAGTCTTCATCAATATACTGGGGCGTCAGGACCCACACCGACCGCAGGTTGAGCGCCCCCTGCTGGCCTCACTAACACCACTTCCGGCAGCAGCCTAGCTTTCCCATGTGGTCTCCCATCCAGGTACTGACCAGGTGCTACCCTGCTTAGCTTTAGTGGGCAACCATGTGAGAGTTGCCGAGAGCTAGCTGCCGGCAGCTTCTGTTTTAATAGAAAAAATAAGTTTTATTGCTAATGCTGCAAAAAAGGCGTTGTATAATAATGGATAATAATCCAAATGTGTTTATCCAACAGATAATTAAATACACATGCTGTGCTGAAGAATAAAAAAACTGAGTTTGGCACTGAGGAAATAAACTATTTAAAGTAAACTGGATTTAAATTAATTGCGTGAAATCTGACTTTTTAAGCATGAGTCACAACTAACCCTCTGTCTGTTACATCTTGCCCACAGGTGGGGAGAACAGTAACATTTTTTACTTCTGGCACTTTTGGCAATACTGCACAGAAATAGGTTCGGCGATCATTCAACTAGTGCTCATTTGTATGAGAGGCTTGTGTGCTGTTGGTAAAAAAAGAGTTTACTTTCTCATTATTTCACCAAAACTAAAAAGTGTAACTTTGTGCTCTGCTCTCCCCTACTTCAATTAATAAAACGTTTTAATCCAATTATGTTTCTTATCCATTTATCCGAGTTAAATGTTTGCTTGTTTATGTTTCATTATTTGATTACTTTCATTTTTCTGTACATGCTGGCCATACAAAAAAAACCCTATCATACAGACCAGTGTTCCCCAACCTTTTTCTAACTGCGGATCGGTCAACGGTTGACAGTTTTACTGCGACCGGAGGGGTTGAAATAATAATAATAAACATGAATCCACTGTACTCATATGGAACTTTATCAGCACATTGCTCCAACATTACAATGCTATTATAACATTAGGAAGTACTAACTTTATTAACACTTTACTCTAACAATATAACATATTATAACATCAAAAACTTTTCATAACGCTAAATCAATGGAAGTCCTGAGCTTGCTTCCTTGCAACGAGATGGTCCCATCTGGGGGTAATGGCAGACAAAATCCCCTTTCACACATACAGACCTTTAAATAAATAGCCAGAACGAAT